CCTGGTACAGGAGTAGAAGAAGAGGAAACTAAACCACTCTCAAATAACCTGCTGTGCTATATTATGTGCAGGGCTCGCACAATCGCTAGCCCGACGTCCCGGAGCTAGCGATATCTCTGGTCGGGCGACCAAAATCTATCTCAGCCCCGCCCGTCGGGTTATCATATAGCCTGACGGGCGAGGCTGAGATAGATTTTGGTCGCCCGACAGGAGATATCGCTAGCTCCGGGACATCGGGCTAGCGATTTTGTGAGCCCTGCGTGTTGATTGCGCTCTTATTTCCTGAGGGTGTCTCCACAGCAGATGGATCTGCATGTTTGATTTGACGAGATTTTACACCAGATGCCCTTCCTGACGAAACCCCTGCCTTTGAGATCATTAGTAAGAGTACAGCAGCTTGTGACCCCTTAAGGCCGGGTTTGTGTCTCCTCCCAGGACTGAACCAGGGATATTTCACATGTAAGGCAAATGTCCTAAACATTTCACCACAGAGCCACAAAAAGACCTTATAAAGAAATTATTTGAATCTTATTACCCAGTTAACGTGTGTTTAAAATAAATTAGTATATGTATCTGTCTTAATGTACTGTTCTAAGATGAGTTTTTATGAATTTCAATAACATCTGTTTGAGATGTTAATGCAGACTGTATGTGTCTATTTGAATGTATATAGGAACTTGAAAAAAATAGCTGATGCCAATGGGAACCCTAATGAAACTGGAGAGGCTGAAGCTATGCTCATGCTACATCCCGTGTCTCTGAAAATTACCCTAAGTTGGTCAGAAGCAAACTTGAATAAGATAAAAATCTATTGTATTTTACACATGCAGGGAAATTATATTCATTAATTTTAGCAGGAGTGCCTGAGCAGCTCTCTGTGAGTAACAGGACTCAAGTTGCATCCAGCACACAGGCTGCCTAAGCCTGTTGCCTGAGCTGACCCACTGACCCACTTTCCGTCTCCTGCTTTGCCAAAGAGAGCCTCTGCTGGAGAGAAAGAAAAGAAAGAAAGTAGAAAGGGGAAAAAAAAAGAAATCTGAAGGTGAAAGAGGACAAAGGCAGGGAAAGTGAAAGCGAGAAGCGAAAAAAGAACTGTGAAAGGAAAGGGGGGCCTGAGAGAGGAGGAGAGCCTGCTATTTGTCAGCTGTTTGAGGCCTGGCACAGCAGCATGAGCTAACGGCTCTCAGCTCTCAGCCCACAGCTTCCAGCTTCCCGCTCAATACTACCCGCCAATACTACGCAAACTTCCGCCAAAACTAAAACATCCATGCGCACACCCTGAAAGAACCATGGCTAGACAGGAGATCTGTTAGCGGAGCAGTTAACCACATTATGGAGCTAACTGTTAATGATAATGAGCTACAAATCTTCCTAAAACACACATGAGCAAAGCACTGTGTAGCTCTTAATATGGAAGCTATACAGAGTATGAAGTGAGCGAATCAGATGCAGCAGGGGGAGGTCACCTGCTCACACAAAGACGGCACACAGCAACACCAGTAGAGAGCTGCTGCTAAAAATAAACGCCGTCTGAAAGCTAGACTCAGACAAAAAGAACAGAGGACCCTCCTCTCCTCCCCACTGTGGGTTCAAGTGACGCACGTACTACTCCTCCTCTCCACGCTACCTCTCCTCACAGATGCACTGTGGGTGTAGGGGTTTTACCCAAAACACTGCTCAACTATCTACACCGCAACACCCAATGAGAACAAATGACCAAAGTCAGGCTTTGTATAGAAATTTGATTTTATTTATCAAATGGCAAAAAAGTAGTAAGATGAAAGAGCCTTTTTGTTTTAGCTATATCGAGACTAATCAAGCTTATTTATACCTCCATTTATGCACATAAGAATTATGCTCAGTCACCACTGATTTTGTAACAAAGAAGACCAAACAGACATATGAGTCAGATGTCAGTATTAGCATTTACTGCCTAAGAGCACAAGAGATTAGAGCTACAAATTTCTATGACCAATCTTTATCTGTTGTGTCACATCAATTTTGTGCTGGCTAAATACTCAGATGGTGCGACAAAGAGCTGAAAAGCTTTAAAACAGCTTGGTCATTTTTTAAATGAAATTTGTTTTTGTTTTCCCAGCACAAAAGGGCCAATGAATAAAAGCTACTTTAGTCTGCTCCCTTATTCACAAGGGGCTGCCACAGCAGGTAGCTCCACATGTTTGATTTAGCAGTTGTTTTATGCCGGACACCCTTCCTGGCACAATTCTAAAGGCATCGGTGTCTCCTCCGAGAATCAAACTGGTGATCTTTCACTTATTAGGCAAATGTCTAAACCACTACAAAAAGGGCGATGAATTAGAAATAAAATAAAAACTGGTGCCAGTACTCCTCACTAGTATAGACAGCATAACAGTTGGACATAGCCACCTCGATGTCATCCACTGGTTTGTGAAGTCCTGTTATGAAGCCTCCAGCTGAGCTTTTTCACCGTCGCCATCTTGGTGTTTTGAAGCCAGATGTGACGAGCAAGAGGTGGATATGACTGATCCTTGATATGCTCATAGCTTATCATGGCCCTTTCTGACTCTAAATCATTTTTTATAAATTAGGCTCAAAATTAATCAGTTGAAACTAGACACTGAGGCCATCAGTCT